TTAGCCTCATGTGATTCCAAACTGGTATGATTTTCTGAAGATATTTTGAAGCATGTTGGTAACCAAATAGCTTTGGTCACCATTGACAAGTGATAGTACTCAAAATATCTTCTTTTATTTTCCACAGAATTATTATGAGTATTTATTGTGAGTAAATGAAATGATTGTTGTCACTAAGAAGGAATACAAAGGTAAACTTTGAGCTACTGAACTCTCACTTCCCTGTGAGAAATGCTGCAGTACAAGCTGCAGCAGGCAGAATGCATGTGGGGAGCATGTGCTGTGCTGGTGAAGCTGCAGTACTGTATGTGCTGGTCATGCTGGGCTGGCCTTGTATGCGTCAGCTCTGTGGTATGAAGGTTATGTTGTGGCGCTCCAGTGCTGCTGAGCGCTGCAGTGCTTTGGAACAGCAGACTCCTCTCTTTCCTGCCTTGACCTCTGCCAACTGACCCTCGCACTCCCACTGCTGTGTCTGCGGATGAGTATGGCAGAGGCAGAGAACCAGATTCAATCATGCGTTGTTGGTTCTGCATATCATTCCCATGTAGTTTGTTCTCTTGCTTTTCTGGGCTTATTTGGGAACTCTGTGCCACTGACTGTCAGAGTGACAGTGACGGCAATCCGTATAGAAAATGCTTATTTGAATGCTGCACCTGTTTGCCCATCATCACCTTCCCAGCATTTCAAGGTCAACTTTAGTCATTTTGCAGCCGCATTGCTCTATTTTCCCTATTCACACATTAGTCATGTCCCAAAGACTGAGGTTCCATGAAAAATAAAATGGCCTTTGGTTTATTTAAATAAGCAAAATGTTGCACTCCGTTGGGACCTGAAAAAAAGACACGTCTGCAGAATTTGTGTTGGCTGTTAAAATATATTGGTCAGCAGTTTTTTTTCCACATTGTAGTCTGTTTGTTTACCTCAATTTAATTAATATTCCTAGTACATGATATGAGTTACATTGAAAGACTTTTTTTTGAAAATGGTTAAAATAGACCTCAAATGAACACTAAACGATGTTTACTCTAGTAGTGATCCCTGTAATTATTTTACCTAGTGCAGCTGTTGTCATATTGATCTGTATAATCGATAATTCTTAAGATCTAAGATTAGCTCATTCAGCAAGTGTGTCTCGAATAGACAACAAATTCTGGAGAGCGGTTTTCTGTTTTTTACAGCACAGTAACAAAGTTTACCCCAAAACGAGGGTGAGTAAAAAATCATCTCTTACCAAACCGTTTTTTTTTTTATCTTCTCTGTGGTATATACAAAAAGCAGAATTTTGAGAGATTTTGTTTTTGTATTTTGTTTTTTTTGGTGCGTAAAAGGAAAGTCAATAGGATCTGATGTTGTTTTGGACCATGTTGACGTTTATTACATAGGCAAAAACAGTTTAAACATTCTTGAATGTTACACAGGAGGAAAAAGTCACACAGAGTTGGAAGAAAATGAAGGTTATGAGGGTTAAATAAATTGACAGAATTTTAATTTTGGATGAACCGTTAAAGTTGCAATGAAACTATTCTGTATTGGAACGTACATCCAAGTGAAATTTATTAGAGAATAAGAAAAAAAAAATGTAGAGCGAGGACTTGGTTCTATCCATCGGTTGTTGATTGGATTGTGGAGGGGTGGCTTTAAGCAGACTAAAGGATGAAGAAATCCAGCATTCATCAACAGTCACAGATGAAGAAGAAAAAACGTTTGTTACCAATATATGAGCTATATGAATAATATGAGCTCTTTAGCTATTAAGGAAAGGGTACCATCTTAGTGATGGATTTTGTACCCTTTCTTCGAAGAGTGAATAAGATCGATACCAAAATAAATAAGGGGAATTTTCATTTCATACTGACTTAAAGCATATAGCATTTAATTTAGCGGGAATAATGTTATTTCTCACAGAAAGACAGTAGGTGGTCTTGTTGACTTCTCTGAGACTTGAAACAGCATGCTAGCCTACTAATTGTAGCCAGGTTTTGATGAAGGATATGTTTCTCAAACGCCCAGTCTTCTTCTATACTTTCCAGTTATTGACTTGCTTCTTGTGTACATGGCCACATGCGGTGTCTGAAGGACACCGCTACAAGTGCAATGTGTATACATCTCAGTGACCTTGTGGAAACAATACACACTGGCCACCTCCACACTTCTGATATTTACAGCTTCCTTTGTAGATCTGCGCCAGAAACACTCACACACGTGTACTGTGCTGTATATCCTCCGTCCTGCCGTCTTTTTGCTGTAGTGAACATCAAAGTAAACCGACTACACAGCCAGCACTTACACTAGCCTGTATAACAATTGTACTACATATAGCTGGCGTTATTAGTATCCTGGCTGCACACGGTTATTTGTCTTCTTGTCTGTGCAATTACAAAATATGTTCTTTCTGAAGTGCATGGGGTTTAGGGTTTTAAGACTTTTTCTATCATTATTTTTTAAATCTATCTACAGGTTCAGTGCAAGTTTAGATGCATCTAATCTATATATTTTTCAGTGGTGTGTTACTAGCTCTTTTCACAATAGCATAGCTCTTTTCAATTTAACAAGCTAGTTTTTTCCAATGTGCATTAAAATGCTGCATTGCTGTTTTTAATGTCACATTGTATTGCATGCTCAGCCTGAGCAAGCTGAGGCAGTTCATATTCTGATTCCTTTTTGCATCGTTCAGATGGTTTATGAAACGATGCATTATGGTTATCGGCCTTCAATAGAGATTTTTTTATTTTAAATATTGGTAGCTAAAATTATATTTTTAGCTGTAAATGCACATTTACCCTATTTTTACATTTTGATTACTTTTGTTAATTAAAATCAAAATTTTTTTAATCGAAATGAGCTATTTTCTAAATGCATGTTATTGACCTTGTGAACAATTCATAAACTGTTTGTTAATGACTACGTTTTCAATATAATATCTCTTGACTGCTCTTTACCTTGGCTAACTTTATAAGTAACTTTTGTCTTGCTTTTCATTCAATCGTCCTTTTAGATGAAACAATATGCCTTTATTCTAGTGTTATCTGCCTTTATGCCTGCCCACAGTAAATTACAGTTTGTAATAACTAGGCCAGACCTACGCCAACCACTCAGATTGCGTTTTGTCAGTCTACTTTTTATTAATAATTTACTTCATCACGTTGTATAACCAGTTCGAGACAACTATTTATAACAGGCTTTGCAAGCCGCGAAGATAAAAGTAATTTGGGAAATAGCGCTGATTATCATTGGGAGGGGAATTGGTAATCGTTGGGAGGGCAACGCTTGTACTACATATTAAGGTCTCTGGAGGGAATTAGACAGCGGCGGACGTCACGGCCACATGCTCTCTTCACGGATCAGCTCTCCGTTCACCTGCTTACGTATAAATGAGATAATTGGCCTTTCACTGTGAATGCAAGAGGCAGGTGTGGCTGAGGTACCACGCTGCCCTGAGACAGAGATGTGCTAACTTCAGTGCTGACAAACAGCTCAATGCAGGTCTGCGTTCCCCGAGGGGGGCGTCTTCATCGATCTTACTGTAGGGCTGATATTGGGGGAGGGTGTGCTCACGTCAGCCTGCTGTAAAACCTACTTTCTGCTTTGCCTGGTGTTACGTTAGTGCCTTTGTTCTTGTATCTGGAGGTGGGTGTCATTAATTCAATTTCTATCCCCTCTCCCTCGTTTTCTCTCCCGATCTCCCTTATCCGCTCACCGCAATGCTCTCCTTCTGGACCGTCTGTCTGCGTGCCCCCCCTCCCCCCTCCTCCTCCTCCGTCGTCTGTGTCTGTCGCTGTGAGACACAGGGACAGATAATATCTGCCTTAACCTCTCCTCTAATCCCTTCACTGTCTGCTCGTTCACCTCTGCATTATTTGTTTTCATTTTCCCGTCCTTTTATTTGTTTATCCATCCCTCCCTCCTGCGCCGGTTTCGAGTGTGCTTGGTCATCACAGCATTGATTATTCTTCACTGTACTGTCTCTTTTTCACTCTCAAGGGACCACATATCAGCTGTCAGACCCACCCAAGACACCCACTCACATCCCCCTGTGGCACCGCCCCCGGTATTTCACTTCTCGAACTCCAACCTTGCACCTTCCCACATCGCCACGCGCATTTAATGAATGTGATAATGATCCATTCGCTTCTCCTTTCTTTTCCCTTCTTCCTCCCACCTGTGACTCAGATGAGGCGTCGCAGCGGTTTCCTATACTTTAAAACCTTCCCATTAATGCTCCAGGGAAGCAAGAGACCCACTCTCCTTCGGATTCAGCCAAGGAGCAATGCAATGACAAAGAGGGTGGGGAGACTAACGATCAATATATTAGGCTCCTCCTGATTGGTGGGTTCACCTTGCCTGGTTGCATCGCAGCTGCGGATTGGCTGTTGCAGTGTTCCCTGCTCAGCAGCTGCAGCTATGGGGATTTGCCCTTCCTCTCAGCTGCTCTACTTCCTTTTTCTCTCACAAAAGCACCGTTCAGATCCTGAATGCCGAGAGTGGGATTCGCCGCATAGTTCATGGCCTCCGCAAACGAGCGCCGCTTTGTTTTGCGCGCCGCTAACTTTCTGTAACTTATAACAATCTGGCACACAGGCGTAAAGTGACGTTGCTGTCTCCCATGTGCTTGCTCTGTCTCTGTCCCTTTCTTTGCCTCCTCCCTTTCTTCCCTCCCTCCCTCCGTCCCTCCCTCCATCTCTTAATCAAGACACAGCCTTTGCATTGCTGGCTGCCTCCCGTCTGCACTCCTCCTCTTCCTCTCGTGCACTCTCTCACTCACGCTTTCTGCCATGCGCTTTCAGCCTCTCTCTGTTTGTCGCTCACCTCTGTATTCCCCAGTTACAGGTTTGCAACATAAACAGCTGCTGCTTCAGGCATTTCTTTTGTTATTTTGTACTTTTATTGTTTGCTTTTTGCGTAATATTCCTTTTGCCGTTGTGTTTTTGCAGTTTTGAACCGGACGAGCTGTTTTAACTGAGTTTGTCGGCTTTGCTTTTTGTGTCTTTTCGCAAAGGTAGGTTCTCCTGCTGCAAGAGGACTCTTAGAAGTGCGTGAGGACAAGTCACAGTGCGATGAAAGGAATGCAGGGAAAGCAGGAGGGATGAGAAAGCGATTCAAGTAAAAGAAGACTCGCATCACCATAAAGTGCCTCATCTGGATGCTGCGGAAGCCCTCCTCTGTGTCTGCACTCCCATCCTGGCTGGTGTCTGCTTCGGAACGCTCTTTTCCCCGCTGACTTGAGCGGTGTGCGCTTGGCCTTGGCATGGGCTATATTTCACCCTGACAGTCAATCAAGCCATTTGCCTGTTCCTTGATTTCCAACTTTGCCTACTCGCCATTTCACCTTATAATACAAGGACACCAGTCGATTAGTTTCCCTTTTGGGTTCTCAAAGTGTTTCTCCCTTCACTTCTGCAGTCTCTCCATCCCTTGTGACCCAGACATGCGAGCATCTTTAGGGACTGCTGCGGCTATGGCAACAGGGCAAGGGGTTTCGGAAGCCTAAATTTAGAGATTTTAAATCAATGCAAGGAAGCTTTTTTAAACCCCGCGCTCCCGAGGGTGAGTCTAGACAGTGGGACGACCGCTGCAGACAAATAGGTAGTGGCGCTCTACTCTACTTTTAATGCCTCGTTTTCCTGGAAGACAGCCGAAGATGCACCGCAGCATGTCACAGTGACCTACCCCACCTCAGCACCCTCAGTTCGTTGTTCTCCCTACCTGACTTTCAAATAATCTCATATTCTCGTCATACTCACCCTTTGGTTAATCACTAGACTATGCCCCCTACCTGTCAATAAGAGAGTTTGTTTTTCGTCTCTAGACTGGTAGTCTGAGGATCTCCTCGCCACTGTGCTAATTTTTTTGCAGCCTTTGTGCTTTATCACGCCTGGCTGCCCCACCCAAGCCCTCCGCTCACCCGCCACTCGCCGAGGGACCGCTATGGCCGTCAATGTGACCATGGGCCGCGACACCAAGTGGCTGACGCTGGAGGTGTGCCGAGAGTTCCAGCGAGGAACCTGCTCACGCTCGGACGCCGAATGCAAGTTTGCTCACCCCTCTCGCACATGCCACGTGGAGAACGGCCGCGTCATCGCCTGTTTCGACTCACTCAAGGTAAATGCACATGCACCCATTATCATTGCACTGTGATATATTAACTATAAGGAGCATTATTTTAAGTTTTAGTGCAGATTATATCACTCACTAACAATATTTGGTCATGTTGTCAATAACTCTAGGATCTTTTGCTCAGTGGTGGTCTCTCTCCAGCTGATGAAATCAGTCTTTGAGTGAATGTTTGTGTCATTTGAAAGCACTGCAAACTCTGGTCTGGGATTGGTTAGTAATGATTAAAAAGATATGTGGCATTTTTATAGTATGTCAATTAAAAAAAACCAATGAATGCTGGGAGTATTTACATGGTACTTCAAAAGTCCTAGGAATATCATGGTATATCCAAGAAACCATGCTATGTTGTATTATCTCCAAAATAATCCACAGTGATTTTGTTACTTTTTGTGCTTAAATAATGCTTTTCTTTGAAAGAGTAATCTCTAAACGGAACAACTTTTAAAGGAACAGTTCCATCAATTCCACCATCATTAACTGTTCTCAATATTGTAAATAATAAGAAATGTTTCTGCAGCAAATCAGCATTTTAGAATGACTTCTAAAGGATCATGTGACACTGAAGACTGAAGTATTAATCCTGAATTCACCTTTACCATCACAGTTTAAGTTATAATTTGCTGATCCAAAAATGTAGCTGACTGGACCATGAAGTTAGTAAGTAGGAATTCTGAAACTAGATCAGAGATTCATAAATGTATAATTCAACTGAATCATAAAAAATAATGATTCATTCATGATTAATCATTAGTGGATGTAAAGATTTTTAGTAAACTATTTATTTAGTTTCTTTCAAAGTTGTTAAATGCCATTAGATGACTTGAGATATAGTAGTAATAATTACTTGTATGATGCATTCTTGGAGCTTTTGTGTGTGCCATTCGTTGTAACTGCATGAAAAATAACAACCAGCACATTAAATAATTTCTCCTTTTGTGAATATACTATTATACATTTTGAACATCAATGAGTAAACGCTTGCTGACAGAATTTTTGGGTGAACTGTCCCTTTAAAATGTGTATTTCCATAAACAGTTTAAATGTATTGTTTTCAGCTTTAGGTGAATTCTTGATTTATAAGCTCAAATGGTACACATTTTGGTATATCTTCTCATTATCCATGTTCATCTCAAGAAGCAACTCTCTGGACCTGTGTGTCAATCAGGACTCTGAGCATTGAGCTATGAGCACAACAAATGTGTTTGTGTGTTTATGTCTCTGCTTATGTGTTTATGTGCAATGAAAGAGCCAGACAAGGCCCTCTCTGTCTGAGTGCAGCAGCTGTCTCCTCTTTTATTGAGCTAGAATGTATTATTTGGCCATTTTTTTGGCTGTGGGCAGCATTTGTGGGGGAGCTCTGGATGAGGAGGAGTGAGAGAGAAAGTTACATGTGGCCTAGCAACAGCACCACCCGACTGGATGCAGTAATCCCTATGAACTGTGTTACAGTTGTTAGCCTTGTGTACTAGTGGCCTGTGTAGATTAATTACCCATCCAATTGTTCGATTTGTTTTTATCAGTTCGAGGTTAGATTGCTGTTATGACTGAGAGAGATAAAAGCTACTGGAAATAAATTGGAGAAACTGTTTGTGGTTTATTCCTCATGATGTTCTTGTGTGTGCGTGTGTGTGTGTGTCTTTAAGAGTTTAAATGGTGCCTGTTGAAGTGCTAAAGGTGCACATAAATTCGACATGAAACGGAATTTGTGATTGTCTTTTCTTCACTATTATTTGACATACTAGCCTGGATGCCAGCCTGAACCCCGCCCACAACATTTTTTGCTCAGGAAGTTCGGTCCATTGAGGAGTAATTATGATCGGTTCAGAAATCGTCAGGCCAATCAAATTGACAGGGTGGGCTTGATACGACGGTTGAACTGGTTGGTTTCCCTCAAAGATGTCTGCAACTGGATAATTGAGATGTATAGTTTCTGCTATCGCGTCTGTTGTAAAAGAAATCGACAGCGCATTCATTTTAAAAGACAAATAGGGAACTGCAATCAAGGCACTTGTCGATCGGAAAGATGTGTTTGCCGTCCTTCCTACGGGATTCGGCAAAAGTTTACTTATCAGCTGGCTCCGATGGTCACTAAGAAGATGGAACGCAATGAAAACCCTGTGGTCGTTGTGGTTTCTCCTTTGGTTGTATTGATGGAGGACCAAGTAAAAGAATCAACACTCGTTATTTTTATTACTACTTCTTCCAGCGTATGTGGAGTTGAGTTTTGTTGACAACTATGCGAATCTCAACATACGTCACTTACTGCTTTGTTCTGATTGGTTGTAGGTCTATCCAATTGAGAGCAGTGTTTTTTTTCCCCCTGGTTCGGTTAAGACCAAGGAAGTTGAAGCCTCGCGGGAGCCGCCATTGTAGCAGAACTTCACCTGCTGTTAGAATTTTAATTGACTCCCATTCATTTTGGCGTCACTTTGACAGCGAATAACTTTACATCCGAGGCGTCATTTGTCCATTATTTATTTCTAAAGAAACACGGAAATGTTTAAAATGCTACATTACTTTGTATCTTACATTACGGCCCTGTAGCAGCCGTTTTTGTAAAAATAGGCTAAAGATTGCGTCATTGCGTCAAAACCACGGGACTTTCTGTCGCACAATAGAGCCATTACCGTATAGACAGGAGGAGAAGCTCGCAGGCAATCTTTTACTGTCTATGAGGCAATCGGGGGGACAATAGTTCGGAGAAGCCCATAGTTAGAGAGTCCAGAAAAGCAACGGGACAATATATTTCAACAACGTTTTTGAGAAATAAGTTGATTCAGATTTATCTTGGCACAGCTACTAGAAGATTTACGACTGTCAGACTGTCGTCACGCTCAGTTTGAGCCTGCTCAGTCGCTCAGACATCAGGTAGGAAGTGCAATGATTCAGTCTTCTTTGTTGAAATCAATGGGGTCGCTATGTCCATTTCTTTTACTATCTATGGTTAAGACACGCCTAATAAAAAAGCCCTTATATGGAGCAGTATCAGACTCACATTCTGACTAGAATACCTCATGCTGGTGCACACATCATCAGACAAGAGATGTTGTTGTAAGAGGAAGGAAAGTTCATGTTTTTGATGAAAGATTACAAGGGCGCATGAAAAAAAGAGGTGTATCGAGAAATATTTATATTATAAAACAATCACTAACCATGCTAAATCCATTTTGTACTGTGTGGGACCATATGTAATCAGTGGACTGTATGTTACACTGTTTAATAATGCTTCTTGAATCTATTGAATTGTCAATTTAATTTCATAGTAACTTCCTTGTACAAAAAACCTTGAGACAAGACAAGCCTTTGCATGCAGAACCTTTCTGCTAAAAATACTGGAAGAGAAACATGCTCACATGCTCATGCTAATGTCATTAGGTGCCTCACACTTTTCTAGGTGATCCGACCAATAATTTTTTTTTAGTTGAGGAGGATAAAAAAGGGCAAATCATCAGCAACCACCCAAAACAACAGCATAGAAAAATGCTAAGAAAACATGCTGAACACCTGGCATCCACCCATAGTATGCCGGACAATAGTGTTGTGTGCGGTTGCCAGGGCAATGCTACGTAGTTGCTAAAGTGTTCTGCAGTTCAGAAAAGGAAATCTTATAATTAATTGTGCAAGATCTCAGGTTTTGAGTGCAGCCCCCTTCAATCACAATCATTGCATTTTTTTATTTTCAAATAATTCCAGCATTCATCTCCAGACCCAATCTCATCCCCCCAGGCCTCTCTCTCCTCTGCACACCTCCACATCTCTTCTAATTTATCGACATCAGCTAATGGCTGCTGTTCTGTTCTTCTTTCCACTATACCCTGATGCACAATGTCTTGCTTTTTGCTGTTTATTGGCCATTAATCTGGTTTGGTTTGCTTGAAATATCGTACAGGGATACATGAATTAGGCAGTCAGGTAGTCCATGTAAATGTGATTGAGTTATTGATGCTGGCACAGGCTTCTGTCTGAAAAAAACAAAAACAAATCAGCAGGTACTGTCATTGACTGCGTCTTATTCACATGAACATGATTCAAAAAGTTATTTTTAGAAAATAGGACAACTAAATGGCCACTGAGAGACAATGTTCCAGGAAGTACATTTAATGGGGACATTTGCAAAACAGGATTTTCCTAGCTCTTTTGCAATTAAGGGGTTGATGTACTTAGTATTATATGTGAATATTAAAGTACCAATTAAATGTGTGGAGGCGGTTTTTTAAATGTTTTTAAAAGTTTCTAATACTCACCAAGCCTGCAAATGTTTGATTTAGAAATGCAGTATGTACAGTAATACTGTGACTGTAATATCTATTTGAATATATTTTAAGGCACAACATCCCAGGTAAATAGGGTAAAAAATTAACTACTAGATACTGTATCACCATACTTCCCCAGCTGATTGATTCCATTAAGAATTGAAAAGATTTTTGGCATTACAGGTTTTCCAAAATGCTATGTTTAAATATGCAAATGAGGCATTATCTAATAAAATATGAACTAATTTGCCTAATTTTAAACCAGGCTCAAAGTTCTTGTTTCTTTTTTTTTTTACATTAAAGTCAAAGGTTTTTACAGAGAGGACTTTGGATCTTTTTATCACTCATGCATACACATTATACATCAGAAAATACTGTCAACTGCCAGAAAAAAAAAGTGAAATAATATATATTATATAATATATATATATGAACAAACCCATCAGTAAAAACCCTCAGAATATAAATTGGAATACAACTGTAAAGTTTGGTGTGTAAGTGTTACTGGGGAAAATAATGATAAATGATTCGATCGTGGCAGGCCCCTCTCTCTCTCTCTCTCTCTCTCTCTCTCTCTCTCTCTCTCTCTCTCTCTCTCTCTCTCTCTCTCTCTCTCTCTCTCTCTCTCTCTCTCTCTCTCTCTCTCTCTCTCTCTCTCTCTCTCTCTCTCTCTCTCTCTCTCTATGGGTGTGGGCCATCGAAGGTTTGAGGGGGATTTTGGATCTCCTTAGA